ACGTTTCATCTCCCTAATGGAATGATCCAAATATTATGTCTTTACATCTGAATGTGGACAAACATTGTGAACCAAGTGTCTTGTATTTTTACTTTGCAACATTGATAAATTCTGTCGTGAAAATATAATTGATTATATTTGTTTGACTACGTTCAACAACATCTTGTTTGTTTTCCTTCACAGAAGGACGTTTCAGTAAGAATAAATCTGTGTAAAGAAACTGACTGGTACTATATATGACACCACATCTGCAGTTTTTTTCTGAAATGTCTTGAGAGCATTGATGTACTTCAAGAGTTTTAGTGACTGGACTTTCTGGTGACTGTGTATTTTGCATAACATCACATTTCGTATTGTTCTGTGTGATTTGATTAGCATTTGTATTGTTTCTTTGATGTTTTTTATCATACTTTGAGTTGCCTGCAATTTTGCAGGATTTTGATTTTGATTTGCCTGCAATTTGGCAGGACTTTGATTTGCCCGCAGTTTGCCTTTCCATCACTGTTCTGCGTGCCTAAGACTTCCTCCAAAACTTATTTCGTGGCATGTTTACTGACCTTAAAATAATGCGATGTAATTCCTATACAGGTCTCTACAAGGGTGTATTTGCTTATAATGAGTGAAATAGCAATTTCATGGTTATTTGTTTTTAAAAAGACTATCCTACAACAATTTTCTTTATTTGTTATAATTATCGTAAAAGCATATTTTCCTTGACTTTCACTTAAATAATGACTAAATACAAGCAAATAAGACCAAAACAGTAAAGAAAAGTTAATTCCGCTGGAGCTCCAACCAGTGAGGTCGTAGTTGGGAGAAAAATTGAGGTAAAAAGACTGGTGCGTTATCGATTGATTGAGCTAATTGCGCTTATAAATGTTACGAATGGAATTATTGATTATATTCAATATTTAGTGAAAAAAAGCATAAAAAAAATCAGTTTTCTTGTAAAAATCCAAAAGTGGTGGAGCTTTGATATTTGGCATGAAAAATGTTATTCTGTATGTCTACCATGTTTCTTGAAACAAAACCCCAAATTACATAAGCTCTAGCTCTTAAGAATTGTCACAGGAAGATTTCTTAAGATTTTAAATGTATATATAATCTATCGGGAAAAAGAATGATACCCTTGGGCGGGCTGATTCGGAACCTATTGCTCTAATTTAGATTTTCACAAGACGATTGATTTTAGTTTTTTATTTAATTTTAATTTTTATTATATACATATTTTAAGGAAAACCAATGGCGCCAATTTCGACCTAAGGATATTTATTTAAAGAACTTGGTAGAAATCCGCTAGAAGATGTTTCATGCTAAATATCTAATCTATAGTGCTTTTGGATAAAATAAAATTAAAAAAAAACTAAAATACTTTCTCTATTTTGTAGATATTATCTGATCTAGTGACCTTCTCGTGTCACAGTTGCACCACAAGGGAATAAACTTACGCAAAATCATCGACGTGAATTAAAAACGAATTATTTCCCTTCAAATTATAAATGAAGAGCAAACGTCCCATATGTCCAAAAACATAAAATGTACGAGAATACAAATTCATTTGTTGTTTGTGATATTTAATAAAATCACCATTTTTCAGAAGTAAGAATTACCGGTTAAAGATTATTAATCAATTAATTAATTTATTTATTAATTAATTAAGTAATAAATTATTTAATTAAAATTAATGTAAAATAAGAGCATAAGGATCTTATCAAAATACATTTTTATTGCTCCTTTTAATGAATAGCAACGTCCTATCTCACTTTTGATGAACCAATGGGACATGATTTAAAGATTGCATATTTGTAAATATTTAGTTAAAGCTAATATATAAACGATTTCTCTAGGAAAGCTACAGATTACATTTATTGTTGAGAGACGAATGAATATAAGACTGAAAAAATGTTTGTTTATACCATTTTAATATAGTAGTATTATAAAGAATCTTAGATTATAGATTATTAAAACGTCCATTGCAAGTTAAAAATACCTATTCTGTGATGCAGATTAGCAGTGTACAATAAACAATATGCCAGGCCAATGACGTCAAATACATTTCTGACACTAATTATTTGAAATAATTCAGGATTATTAAGACATTTTCTTTATTGCAGGCAGCCTATTCATTAACCATTTTCTTTATATATACAAATATATGATTTTATATAAGTTTCCATCACCATTTACGCCATGTATCTTTCTAAAAAAGTATCTTTCTTGTTGACACATTTGCAATGTGTGTAAACATACACGCATGGCGTAGGGGTAGAAATTGACCGAGTCCAAAATTCAATTGTCCAGAACACGTAGTAGGTAGATAGGTAGTAGAAAAGTGTTTTGTCCCTGTTTGTTCTGAATGTTCCGATTGTTCTGATTGTCAACACTTTTCTTATGTAAGTCGACCTTACCATAAAGAACGAGAAATATCTTAGGAAAAGATTATCCGAAATATATATTTTTAAATAGTAAGCTAAAATTCAAACATGTCATTGCATTTTACGGGCAGCTGTATTCTTTAATATGTGGACATGGTATGCGTTTTCCTTTTTTCTTAAATTATTTTAATAATTAATATAATCTGGGTTGCGGGTCATTCATATGTAACTTTTACAATTCATTTGGTATTTCATAAACTTTGCCTCAAAAAGATAATTATAGTAAGGTGTTATCTTTTTATTGATGATTAATTACAAATTGTAAATGTCAAAGTAAATATTCCTAAGTTTTGAGCGGCTTTTTGTTAATTTGTTTCAATGTAGGTTAACATTTTTAAACTGCACTATTGAGAAATTAAACCATAATTTATCCGTTGTTACCCATTGTTTGCTTTGATAGTGTGACACATCATTAAAAATAATTTATCCTTACAAGTGATGCATTTTGTCAGGAGGATATGTGAAGCATTACCTTATTATTATTCTGTTCTTATTTCTTTTTTTTGTAATATATGTTTGCCAATAAACTAACGTTATTTTGTTCTGGTTCTTTTTTTGTAATATATGTTTGCCAATAAAACCAGCGAAATATTTACTCCTCATTTATGTCGTTACTAAACGTGGCCAACACTGACATCAAATTCAACGCAAAGATCTGCTACTCGAAAATTTGCAACATTTACTATTATTTGGAATTAACAACAAGGCTTAATCATTTTTATATACATTTATTTGCGTTTTGTGAAAAATGAAAGACAAGTAATAAATGCAACAAACTTTTTAAGCCAATGATGACGTAACACTGGAATCAATATTCTCCCCGTTAAACCAAAACATATGTATGTTGTTAGTATAATTCATATATGGAATGGATACAAAAAATAAACACCCGACGTGTTGTCCAAAGTTTAAAATAGCTTTTGAGTACGATAGCGCACACTTTTATTTTAATTTCTTTAAACAAAAATTACAGTCAAAGAAACAAATAATGACATCTCCAGATCCTGCGTACAGACAAAACAGATATCCGTGAGAGAAGCAACATTGTACGAACGTATGTCTTTCCCAAATATAAATTTACACATTCAGCAGTGTAACACATAAAGCGGTAATGGACATTTCCGCGAAGATTTACACTGTGATGATATTTCATTTTGCAAAACAAAAATTAGGATATGTATGATATTTGTAATTCCTTTTGCAATCTTTACAATTCAATACATATTGACCGAAATACGCAATGGTAAATCTGTTTTATTTTTTGTAAATGTTTTCCCGAAATTAATGAAAACAATGCATATGAAAAAAAGCGCAACGAACGACTGAAATGCGTTACTTACACAAATGTATGACAAGGTAATTCTAAATATTGTAGATATTTATCCGAAATCAAAAATGTTAGTTATTTTGTGTGTGTTCAATATGATTGGCTATCAAAAATCATTGACGTTTGTATATGGATGAAAGGCCTAACTACGAAAACAAACTACGACAATCGGTCTTATAGAATTTAGCACAGAAATGTAGAAATGTAATAGTCGCTATTAATTGGATATAATTTCAATGTTATTTTGTATCGTTGAAGACTTGTAAATTCACCGAACAGGTCTTACTTTACAATTGGAAGTTCGAAAGAGATTTTAGCCAAATTATTCAAATTAGTTTATAATACATTAATATGTATAAACGGCAAAGTTATAGGTAAGGGAAAAACAGGAACATGCTTTTATAGCACCTCATTTTATTTGTTTTCCAACAAATAGGCAAAACAGGGATACAAAACACCTTTTTGTAAGAGAATAAAGTTGGAATGGTAATGTTCTATCTGCTCTGTTCATTTAACGTTTCTTTAGAGATGTATACTTTTGTATTCCGAATCCTTTTGAGCTTTAAGCCTGTTGCAATGGACGGACATGTATCATAAACTTTCTCTACAATATCAATTCCTGCTCTGTAATCAATGCTATGTAAATATAATGCAAACACGTTACATAGCTTATTAATGTGTTGTGTCATGACACGTTGTTTTAAATAGACCGGTAAATATTTAAGAATATTCGGTTGATTTCTATATTATTTCAAACATTTTATATTCAGCCATTTGACGTAGTGATTAAAATGTGAACTTTAAATATAAACATCTTCGACATATGTTCAATGCTCTACTGATTTATTCAAAATAAACATTTTGATGCGAATGTAACGGAAACTATGAAAATCAATTTTTGTACAAAGGAATTTAATGATTTACCGATGACCTCGAAACTCCTTTGTATAATTTGAATTGGCATTTCATTAAAACATTAATATACGAAAATTATTTTACAGTCGGCATGTTTTGAATGATATATTCTAATTTTAAGGCCTGCCTAAAATAAGGATGTACATTATATTTTTGATATGCATCGCTTATAGTTGTATAATTTTTTCTTGTTTATAATAAATGTAATAATCTTGAATAAATAAAATTGTTAAAAAGGAAAACTAAATGGCAAAGGCATTCTGTTAAAAGGGGAGTTGTGACTATTTTGAACATTTGGTGTGACTCGAAAAGTGAGCTTCATAGATGATGAATTAAACTTTATTGGTTTTATTTGTATGGAATTTGGAACAAATGAGTTCAGTTCTACTGCTTGAGATTTACTTTCTTCACTTAGTAGGTTTGTTGCCTTCTGATGTTTTCCCGCTTCAAGTTCATATTCAATTTGATCTTTTACTGATGATTCGGGATAAATATCTACTGGCTGTTGTCAAAAGTCGAAAGGAAATTTCAATTTGTTCTTTCCGAAATCCAAGAACGGATGCATTGTTGTAGTGGTCGTGGTTGGAGTCTGTGTCGCAGATGCTGTATTTCGTCTTGCAGCTTCTAGTTCCAATTCCTTTGGTAAACTGCCGTATTGTTCTATCCTTTTTAAAGCACGAATTTCAAGCTCTAATTTGATTATTTCAAGGTCTTGTTTACGCATCTCCTTTTCAAAGAACTTTTGTTTCATGCTTGGACTTTTGGTTACTCTTTTGACATTGTGATCTTGCTCGCTGTAAGTATAAATTGTTTTTTTTTGTTAAATACTTTAACAATAGTTCAATCAATCCGCAAAGATATACATGTTATTCGTAAATAAGTTCATGAAAAGAATAACATTTAACTCTTTATTACTGTATAACAGTTGTTTTATTGGTATTATTACGTCAGTTGTTTATATGATTCTATTTATAGATATATATTTGATATAAAATACTTAATGCCTTGGTGAAGTTCTTGGACGTGATAATAATAATGATAATTATAATTATACTAGTTATAATATTTAAGATAAGAGACTGATTTACATTACACTTAAAACTGCAGTTTCGTATGAAATGTTAATTAAGTGTTAATTAAGTTTAATTTTGATGAATAAAATGACAATTTCTGTTAGAACTTTAGACATGTTAATGATAAAGAATAAAATGTCATTCCCTCGTGTTATTAATTTTAAACGTTTTCTATTGCGCTTTTGATTCATTTTGCATTTAAGTTCCTGGGTTAATTATGTTAATGAATTATGCAAATGAGAAATAGTCGTATTAAGACAATTTCATTTTTGATAAATTAATCAACACCACGTTGATATACAACACTACTTCTTTGACAAAGATTCCACATCTGCGTATAAGAAATGTCACAGGGAAATATTCCAATTCTAGTAAGACAAACCGTTTGTGGTTTACCATTTTATCCTTATTCTTTCAAACATTTACGCAATCATGCCACGTTTTTACTATTTTGATATCAATTTAATCATCGTCATTACCTTATTTAATATACATCCAAAAGTAACGTATACGGTTATTATTTTGCTTAAATGGACGTTTTGACTATTAGCATAATATATTCTTATTTTATATATTTATTCTAAACGTTTGACCATTTACGACATTACATGTTTGGCATATTTCTCCATTTTGATATGGTTAACGTCAAACGAAACACTCTTATCTTTCGAAATATGGAACGAATAAAAGTCGAGGACAGAATAGACAAACACGTATGCGAATCACATGTTCCTGATATTAACATTATATTTAGAATATTCAACAACTTACGTGTACACAATTTGATTGCGGAAATACTGTTAAATTCTTAAATAATTTCTTAATTCTGTTACTTGTCAATAGTTTGTTAGTCACCTGATTATAACGGTGTTTAATTTGACATTTTCTCTTTTTTGAAATTTTATAAATTTTGAAATATGTTTACAAAAAAAAAAAACAGAAAAAAAAAAAAACAAAAACAAAAACACAGCCACATCAACAACAACAAAAACAACAACAAACAAAAATACATACACTTATAATAAACCTTTGCATTATTTTAGCATGGCTATTGGTACATTTATATTTTTACATCTTATTTAAAATATATATCTATTTAACGAGCTCAATAAAGTCAGTAATGAACTTACACGAATTTAATATTCTCGCTATCATATACCCAAAAGAAAATTGTTTAAATTGAAAAAGAATCATTTTTCAATAACACGAATTTAGTGTAACGCTAAAATATATCGCGTCGTAACGCTATGTTTATATAACGCTTATGACGTCACGTCAAATATATGCACGGCCGTGCAATACCATTTTTACAAAGAAAATATATATATATATATATTTCTAGTAATTTTGACCTCAGTAAAGCTCATTTAGGCTTCATACGTATACTATAACAGAAGCTTATAAGGAATTGTGTGATATTGATGAAGTACTTACTATGTGAACAAGTCAAAAGAAATAGGCACAAATCAATTCTTTCGATAATGAGGTGAATGAATAAGATGAAGTATTAAATTTTTCACAAATGTATGCAGACAGTAAACAAATGTAATACATTGACAAATGAACAATAAAATCATGTGATAGTCAGACAAGTGCAACAGGAAACACTTGTCAGTTTAAGACAATTGTGTTTTAAATAACGAATTATAATTAAACAAATAACAATAAAATTTGAATACATATGCAAATGTAAATCTATATGCTTTTCTATTTATAGCATACAATGATACGGTAAAGGTAAATATAAATGATATAGAAAACTCATGTTGTTTATATGTGCTATACATTTGCAGTCAATACATTTTCCTATATACATTAATTACATAAGTAAAAAGAACTTCAGAAATAATGTAAGTTGTTCAATTTTCATAAAATAAATAAATAAACTCAAAAAAACTTTTGTCAACATTTTTACTTTCATCACATTTTTGAATTTTCGTGGTGCAAACCTGAAAATACACAGAGTTAATCAGCCACCATACTTTATAGAGTCATTTTCTTACCTTGGTGTTGTTGTTGGTACAGGCGTAGTAGTTGTTGGTCGAGGAGTTGTTGTTGTTGTAGTTGTTGTTGTTGTTTTCATGGTTTTAGTTGTTGGTTTCGGAGTTGTTGTTAATGGTAAATTGTTGTTTTTCACAAGGATGTACCGTTCAGGCTGCATTGCGTTGGGACTTAATAACGAGTCCATTGATATAGAATTGATTGGCATCAATATATGCTGGTTTTGCATCGAAGCTTGGTTTGCATTATGTTGTTGAAGTTGTAGCTGATTTGTCATTTGATTACTCGGTTGTTGGTGTAGAGTCTGTATACGAAGCTGAGGTTGTTGGACCTGAAATTTAGCTTGCGATTGGTGACTCTGATAAGACGGGTTCCCATTTTGAAGTATATTTATTGGCTTATGCATATCCATTGGCTGCATATGCATTTGCGGCTGAACACTGTTTCTATTTTGAAATTGGTTTTGAATTTGCAGTAGGTCCTGCTGAGGGAGGAAACTTTGCTCTATATGGCTAATTTCTTGTCCGATGTTACCAGTTGATTGTTGCTGAATATGTTGCATATTGTTCTGTTGTTGTGGAATAAATTGTTGTTGATTCATATTCTGATTCATACTGTTGCCATGTTGCTGTGCAAGAAGACTTGATTGTTGAGAGTGCTGCGTATTATGTTGATTTAGAAGTTGTTGTTGGTTATGATTTTGTTGCATTATTACATTTGATTGGTGTTGTGGTAGGTTGTTTATAGTATTCGTGTTTTGCACTTGTTGAACCTGTCGATGCGTACTTATAATGTTGGATTGCTGTGGATATTGTTGTATATTATCTTGCAGTTGAGTATGCTGTTGTACAGTTTGGTGACTTTGCTGGGATAGCCCTATATCTATAGGTTGTTGTAAGTTGATATTTTGTTGTTGCTGCAGAGTACTTCGCTGTTGGGACGACGGGGAACGCTTAACGTGGTTATTTTGTTGTTGCTGCTGCAATTGATGGTTGTCGTCCGCTTTGGTACTTTTAATGTTGTATTTTGGTGATGCTTCTTGTGATGCCTGCTGTGCTGAGATTTCGGCATTGTTTGTACTTTGTTCATTTGTGCCTAGCTTTTTCTTGAGCTCAATTTGTCGTTGTAAATGTTTGATTAGCAATTCTCGGTTTCCATGATAATGCTGTTTCTCAATAAGGTGTAACTTGTCGACAGTTGCTTTCTTAACTTTTGGTGGTTCATTATTGATCTCAGCAGGGAGGTCCAATACATTTTTAACAGAAGGCTTTACAGGTTTCCTGGACTTTGCTATTTGTTGAGGTTCTTCGGGGTTTTCTACGGCAACAGATTCCTTCCTTTGTGAAGATTTCTTATTCTTTGCAACCTTTTTACCTTTGTCCTTATTCAGAAAGCCATCTAAAAAGTATAATAATAAAGATAATTCAATTGAAGAAAGTGATAAAGATACTCAATATGAAGTTTATTTTATCAATTTAAGTATCTATTTAAAATTCTTATTGACAGCTTGTATGCGCCAGTAAATCTTAAAGTGACTTTAAGCACATCCAAGAGTAAAAAGGGTATATGCAAAAGTCAAAACAACTTTACATTTTGCCATAGTTGTTTTGAACTTTATAATCTGCTTCTCAGATATTATCAATATCGGCCTACATATTTTTTTTTTGTAAGAAATACTTCAAACGTCCCATTAGGGTCAATTAAAAAAAAAGAGCGGGGCATTCTTTTTTTTTGTGGGCTTGAAAATTTTTTTTTAAACTTTGTTTTTATCTGTTATATATTGGGGTTGTCGCCATTAAAATTTTAAATATATAGATTTCATTTTAATTTTTAAAAGGGGAAAATCTGAGTATTTGACTTTATTAGTTTAGATAGAATTCTCTACTTTTAAGCTATTGAATTAATCTAAATTCTTTAAAAATACAACTTCTTTTAAGCGGAAAACATTTTCATTTTTCCGTACTGCGAGTATTTAATGGAGTAATACCATATATGTTTAGAAGAACTAAAACCAAAACAAAATAAGTTGTTAAAATTATAAAAAACCCCCAAAAGACACCACAACTGCACACCAGTATTGCATTTCTTTATTTTATATCTTAAACAGCATAATACTTCATTGATAAATGATAATTATGTTCTTTCCTGTCTTTCATTTATTTTGTTCTTATACTTTCTATGGAACACCAAATATAAAGTTAATAACGGTGTGTTTTGTTTTCACATATTTAATCGTGATCCTTATAAGATAAATGTTTTATTACTGAGTCACGTTATTGTGTAGCAATCTTTTGTGAAATAGCGCAGTCGGTAGAGCCGCGGTACAGTATTCCGAGGGTCCCTGGTTCGAGTCCCGGTCAGGCTGCACATTTTTCTCACCCTGTGACATTTGGCGTCCAACGTGGGGTCGTGACTGTGTATAGCTCAGATTTAATTCACATTGCTCTGTAAATCTGTAAAAATTTGATGACGAATTTCAATATAGCATGGGAGTATGTCACGGTTTAGAACTGTATACTATTTAGGGGAGTAGATGTGTAAGTGGCCAAATAGCTCAGTCGGTAGAGCCGCGATACGGTTTTCCGAGACTCCCGGGTTCAAGTCCCGGTTAGGCTGCACATTTTTTTCACAACTTTTTTGTGACAATTAAAAAAATGTCTGGAAAATTATTATAGATCTTAATAATTGACAAGTATAGCATTATGAATTTTCTTTATTTCTTTAAGGTATTAGGACCCTAATGGGCACTATCAGGAACTAAAGAATTGACATCATAGGTCAGATGTATACCTTAAAGTATACCTGTATGCAAAATTTAAACAAAGTTTACCGTACGGAAATCAAGTTATGGCCACTTTTCTGAACTCAAGCTAGGATGTTATGAGGGCCCTTTTTTAGAAATGAGGAAACCTTTAAATAATCTGCAATAACATTCTAATGAAAATGTTTTCCCATGAATTTTTTTGGTAAGAAACAAATAGTACCATTCAGCTAACAATCCACATAAGCAAAATTATGGTTTCTACTTAAAATTTATGAAATCTGTATAAAAATTTTACCCTACCCACCCATTTTTACCACATGTCTGACCATTTTTCTACTTAGGGAGCCTAATTCAAATTTTTTGAAAAAATTTACCAAAATGAGTGCCTTTTTTCAAAGTTTCCCTAAATTTTAAAAAAAGTATATTGGTTGATCTTGTAAAATATGAAATACTTTTACCGTCTAGTTTTGATTATATTACATTTTGAAAAAATAAGGTACCATATTTATTACTAGATTTAGCATAATTTAGCCAATAAATACCCCTATATAAATAAAAATTCAAAATTAAACACTTTTTTCTTTCCATATGGGACATGAGAGATACATAAATAATGTTAAAAGAAAAAAAGAAAGAAAAAAAAAGTTGACCCTTCTGGGGATTGAACCCATGGCCTTCATTTTCAATGTAGTTAACAGTAATTCTAGCCTATTTGAATACTCTTCAAAGCGGAGGTAATGCATTAGGGTGCTAATACCTTAATTCTTAATCTCTTATTTCAACCAAAAAATAGTTTGATTTATCGAAGACACCGGAAACAGTGAATTCCAATTGCATGTACCCATACAGTTACAGAACTATAAATCGTGAAATGCATTCCTGACACAAATTTATGCAGGTTGTATATCATTAATGTTGTTAAACTATCTTGTTGTTAATCATCTTGATGGTAAAATGCATCTTCCCTTAATGCACTAATATGCCTTTTAAAAGAAGACTGATTTAACGGTTGTCATTAAGAAACAGATGTTGTCTCGAATGTTACTATATTAAGAATGTGTAAAATTTTAATTGCTTACCCTTAGCCACTTGTATCAACGCTCGTTGGTGTTTTTTCTTTAAAGAAATTGTTTTCAGTATAATTCCTTAAAAGCCAAGTTTTAAACTTATTGCTGGTATTAAAAAGATTTTAAATTAAAATGTCATCCTAAAGTAACTTGAACTTTTCACAAGTAGCATATTTTGGATAGAAGACAAAATTGTAACAGTATGACCTTGAATACCACAATTTATTTGAAATTAAAATAAAATATATGAGTGTTTTATTACAAAAAAATTATATTGTGATTTCGGAACTTTATAATGAATATTTATACTACTCATGCAAAACTAAGATGCGGAATCGTTTCAATTACCTTTCTCCTCCCTTAAATCGCGCAGTCATTTCATTAAATGGTTATACTCTTTAGTTATTGAGCACAACTTTGACAGCAACACTTTTAAATCATCAATCTATTTAAATGATAACTTTATTGATACTTTATTTGACTTATGTCTTTTTCAAATATAGTTCTTTAAAGTATGAATTAAATCATTATTTATGTAAATTAAATTCTAAAATGTCATTAGGGTTTTGATAAAATCATTTACTTTCAACAAGCCCATTTCCCTTTACTCGCGGCATTTATAACTTTAAATGTTACGGAACCATTATGTAAGAGATTGACAACATGCCTGTTGTTCAAGGGGAACGGAAAGGCATGACAGGTCGCTTTCGAGCTGTATCAAACTTAAAGTAATATCGTTGTAACAACTTTTTACATACAAAAATAATGAATAGGCCTCTTATTTATAGACTATACTTGGTTTTTGACATCATTGTGTAACTTCTACCGGACATTTCTTTGTTTGCTTTTTTTCATGAGACAGAGAGAGAGAGAGAGAGAGAGAGAGTTGGGAAGGAGGAGTGGAGAGGAGGTTGACCTTTGTAGATGTATGACATTGTTATCGTTATAAATGTATAACCTATTTATACAGGTATATACACCTGATATAATATTTATGAAACTCGTCCCAGGAAAATAATAGTTTCTTGAAAATATATGAAAAACGTTTAATGTATCAAATCAGACCTTATATGTTGTCAATAATAATAATATTTGTTTAAGTACTACTTTGTATATAATCGTAACAATACATAAAATGTGAACCAAAAAACCCTACTTTGCAATCTTCTAAAAAATTTTTTGGGTGGGATCTTTTGATTTAAAAAAATTTTTAAAATCATGCACAAATTTTACAAATTTAAAGGGAAAACTTTAGATTGCAAAAAAATAAAAAAGGTTTTCATAAAAGAAAGAAAGAAAGAAAGAAAGAAAGAAAGAAAGTGAAAGAAAGAAAGAAAGAAAGAAAGAAAGAAAGAAAGAAAGAAAGAAAGAAAAAATAGAAAAGAAAGAGAAAGAACGAACGAACAAAAAGTAATGAAACGAACAAAGAAAAAATGAATAAAATTTTACAAACTGAGGTAAACATTAGATATGCACAAAAATAACAAAAGATTCATAAAAGAAAGAGAAGGAAAGAAAGAAAGAAAGAAAGAAAGAAAGAAAGAAAGAAAGAAAGAAAGAAGAAAGAAAAAAGAAAAAGAAAGAACGAAAGAACGAAAGAACGAACGAACAAAAGTAATGAAACGAACAAAGAAAAAATGAATAAAATGAGAAACAAAATCACTTACAAGCGTCGGCCGTTGAAAATATCACCAAAAGTACAATTATAACAAAAGGTTTCATAATGATTCACGTTATAGAACCTAAAAGTATTTGTAAGTCCTTGTATTTCTAGTACCCTCGTAGAAACTGGCTAATCCAATTTTCTTATTCAACAACAAAAGTAAATTGATAAAATCCTAATTTCTAGAAGGTACCAACCAAAAGAAAACGAAATTGATGTATGACAATCACATTCTCTGTTACCAGCAACAGTAAATTTCGTGTTAAAATTTACCTCGCTAATTGTTACATTAATTAAACATGGCATTCACTGCACGTTGACTTATTTCGTTCTACGCATGAATATACTTCAATTCCGACAAATGAATGACATTTACATCATGCTAATAAGATTTTAATTCTGAATATCACCGGGGATTCTAACACTGCTGTCAAAGTTTGAGGCCTTTACATTAAATCCGGAACAAAAATTAATCATAAGGCGGTGATAGTTCAAATTTAATAAATAAATTTGAACATCACAGGTAAGGTCAGTCTTATAACATTACATTTTATACCCCCAAGGTGCATGCCACACGTCTATCGCTGTAATGTCTTTTCATTTTGCTGTTCATAATTAAGTTAGAAAAAAAATTCCGTTCGTAAGGAATACAAACCATGCAAATTTGTTCCTATATAAACAAACCGACGGGGTCTAAAAATTAGCGAATTGAATTATTTTACTTTTTACAGTCATTTGAATTACTTAACTAATAATAATAATAATAATAATAATAATAATAATAATAATAATAATAATGATGATGATGATGATGATGATAATAATAATAATAATAATAATAATAATAATAATAATAATAATAATAATAATAATAATAAAAATAAAACATTTGGAATTTAAAGCACCTTTCCTGCTTATTTATTAATGAGGGGAAATATTTCTTTTCACAGCATATCCGTAGTAAATGTTTTAAAGCATTTTTACTAACAAAGAAAGCCCTGAGGACAGGAATCAGTTATATATTTTTTGTCAAATATGTGTCATCTGAACGTTATTAGCCTAAATTCACACACAGTTATGTTCAGACAAGTTCTATAAAAACCACACATGGAAAAGTTAAATACATGTAACGGTTTATTCCTTAGCGTTATTTGCAATTGTATTCGCGATTTTTTTAATGAATGAGAAATTTTGAATTTTAAACGCAAAAACCTTTCATATCTAAGGTTGGAATCTTGTATTTATTTTTCAATTATCCTTTTTGGAATAAAGAAGAGACTTCGAAGTTTTTTTATTAAAACTGAACGGTTTGGTCTTAAATGTTTTAATTCTTTGGAAACTGACTTTATTAATTGTGATTATTTTTTGTGGTTTTTGAATACTGTTAAAGAGTCATTACCGTTTTTGGGTTTGAACAAATGAGTTCAACTTAAAGTACAGTCTTCTTAGTATGATTTAATGCTAGACTTGTTCCAGCAAAAAAGACAAAAAAACAAAAACAATGTTGTCCTGCAGGAATCAATATGGTGTTACATAACAGACAAGAAAAGCATTGATGCAAAGCATCAAAGGCGACGCCAAAAAAATTGATCAAGTTTTGCACCTAAATACTTAACAAAAGATGTGTACTTTATAGCAGTACCATTACATGTGATCTGGAGGCTAGGCCCAGTTTAAGTTGAAACTTAAACCAAAATGAATAGACTCTGTCTTGCCAAGATGCAAAGACAATTTATAGTAAATTAACCAATCTTATAAGACTCATGCCATAAGAGAGAATTTCTTCAGATTTATTTTACCACATACAAGGATACCTGAGTCATCAACATATAATAAAAGCTTATTGCTTAGGGTTGCAGACATGTCATTGACATATTAGCCATTAAAGAGGACCTAAAATGAACCTCAGGGGGACACCATAGCTACTCGGAGCAGTAGTAGAATGAGTACCAGCCACATCCACCAGATGCTGTCTATCAGAGATAAGACTTGAGCCATGTAAGAATGTCACTATCTATGGCAGATGCTTGAAGTTTCATGAAGAAGAAGAAGAACTTCTTCATGTGCAGTATAGTGTGATCAACTGTATTAAGTGCCTTTTGTAGATCTAAAAGTATCATGTAATACTGCCTTTGCCCATTTCAAATTAAATACAATCTGTTAAATGAATCAAATATGTGTCAGTTGAAAAAACACTTCTAAGTCCTGACTGAAATTGCCTGACAATGACTCGAACCCATGACTGTCAGAAGACCAACTGAGCTATCCGGCCGGCTACACATTTTCTCTTTAATAATGAAACAGTTCTAAACCACAACATATTTCCCCACTATATTGATTTGTGTCCTTGTATTTCTGATGTTAACAGAGCATAGTGAATTAAATTCAGGGTTTTATGCAGTCACAGGATGAGAAAAAAAAAACTTTCAGCTTGACCAGAACTGGAACCTCTGACCCACAGAATAATGTACCGCGGCTATAGCGATTGAGTTATCTGGCCGCTGACACATTTTCTCCTCTAAATAGTGAACAATTCTAAACCGTGACAGATACTTTTAGATTTTTAAATTAACAGGTAGATTAATTCTTAATTAAACAAGTAAGAAAATAAAACCTTACATACTCAAAGTCTTAATCAAAATAACAATCTATATATTGTATAATTATTTTTACTAAAAAGGGCTTAGACAGTTATTGGTTGTGCCATTATTTATAACAGCTCAATTTGAAAGTGAACATAACTGTACTAATATGTATACTATTTATTTTTTGTACAGATAGAAAACTAACCTTTTTTTCTATGAGAAGAAATTTTATGAAGGCTGATTTGTATTTTGCATCTGGGCGAAAACATGAAAATGCAACAAACGAACCACTTTGTGGTAGATTGTATTTTCATGTTTTTATCTTGCGCCCGGTTACTTTTTGTAATTTGTTGGTTTTCATGTGGCACAAATCACCCACTATAAAATTTAGTGCAAGTAACAATCTTTTCTATGAAAAATCTGTTGTCGGGTTGGCTCAGGAGGTTGAGACCGGTGTCCCTTCATTACAAATAGATAAGACAGAAGCTGTCTTTTTCAAGCTATGCACATGTCAGAAAAAAATAGAATACCTATTCAGAATATGATTTTTTGAGACTTTTATTAATTATATTGCTTGATCCAAGTCTAAGGACATTTTCAATCAATACATGTATTATCATTTATAACTTTAAATGAAAGTCTCATCCCTTTAATATTAACGCATAACTGTAACTCTTTATAATTATACAGAAATATTATAAGTCTCATCATATCAATATACTAAGATATACATGTATGCACATAACATTTCTAATTCCCACTTTCCATTAAAAATAAATATAACATCCTATTAACATTGGTGCTTGGATGGAATTCATAATCTTGTAGAAAGAAAACTATAATGTATAGTATTAAAGTAAAAATAAATCTCAAATAGTCTATATCATATGATAAAGATTGAATTGTGTGGGTGTCTAAACATTAAATGTATATCTCTCACAGTAACAAATACTGTCCCTCTTTTAACCTTACATTAGACTTTACTATATAACTAACTGCATATACATGTTTATCAAGTGTTTAAAATTGATAACTTCGGAATGTTCTCCTTTCTCTGTTTTTATATATGGACATGAGCACCTATATGCATAGCTTTAATTTTATACCTTTCATTTTTACAAAAAGGTTATTTTATTAACAATCTATATACAAATACATAGAAAATAACAATAAGTTTCAAGATTCCTGTTGCAGAATACCTGTAGGTATGTACTAACTGAACAATCTAGTAGAAAAATCCAGTCTATATCCAAGTAAAATAAATCTATCAATGTCTCTCCTCAGGGCCTCTATGCTGTTGATGACCTTACAACTGGTAAATATTATACAACAAAAATAGTAATAATACCTAAGATAGACAGAAAAGAACAAATAATTTAGTAAACATGAGTTACTTCCCCTTAAAACAGAGAAAACCTGAAACCAAAAAGAACACCCTAAACAGCAAAATTATGAAATGTTGCAGGATTAGTTGTATTAAGACATGCAAAGTAATGGTAAAGTATTCATAAAAAGTTAGATGACCATGTTAAAGCAGGAATTGCATAAAATCGGATAGCTTTCAACATCCGGATACTGGTACACTTTGTAAAAACAATAATTATGTACAATAGATAAACGTAATATGGATAAAATCAATTGGAGAATCGTTTACAACAGTTCCACTACCTATCCTAATACTCAGTTGCAGGTGAACGTTTTTCTTGTGGAGAATTTTGAAAATATATTAATGAATGAAAAAGTATACGGCATCAATGTAGACCACAACGATATTCGAAATACGGGTTTTAGTATTGCCAATAAAGCTAAGGGACAAGCTGTTAAACTGAGCCTGCAATTTCGTGAAAATAATAGCACAATGCACATGCTTTTTACATAAAGTTATTAAATACAAATATAACAACATCTTTGTTTACTTGATTTTTACGAATCGAAATAAAACTAATTAACACAACATGACATTAACTGCTAATAATAACAGCTCCTTCCATAGGCCAAAATAAAAAGCATTCCATAAGAGACGACGCCGCTCACCGGCGTCGCCAATAAGCTTTTAAAGCAGATGACCAACCATAAAATATCAAATTTTAGAGTAAACGTAGAGTATAGGACGAAGTGTAAAGCTGATGCATGTGAATGTTTTTATGTACTTATTCGGCTGCAAAACAACCGAGTCTTAAAAATTTTTGAATAAGACGCATGACTTACTACAGAATGACACTTTTCGAGTCGTCAATAAAGCAAAAGTACATTATAACATTCACATTCATCAGCTTTACATTTCAGGGCCAATTTAAATTATCTTGCTTTGTTGCAAAACATTTTTTATTTACATTTTTTTTCTCAAATGAAAAGACAATGTTGCCTTATCTCCGTATACAAATAATGGACTGCAACTGTCTTTAGTTTTTCGAGATTTGACATCGTGAAACCAGGCTAAAATTAAAGTATGCGTAAACACGTTTCATCTATAAATAGCAATGGTAAGTGCAGTATCTCTAACAAAAAGGGGAACTGTTTCACATGAAAAAAACGCATTGTTGCTGCATCGAATAGTAATAAAACATCTGATTTGTTCAATCTATCCGTGTGTTTACTTTTAGAAACTCGAAAACAAGTTTGTTTTTGAAGAAATATAAATTTAAATATCTTAAAAATTAGTATTTTCTTTCTTTTTGATATGATTTGGATTGTGTGCCTTCAAAAACTTTAATAGCCGCCTTTTAAATAAGCGAGGTGACACGTGTGTTTTTTTACGTTATTTTGGTTAGATTTGGTAACGGGTCTGATGACCATGTATACTAACTGTTGTTTATACTCAAATTTTATACCAATACGTCATTGACTTAATCCACAAAATAAAACGAGTACTACTTGTGCAATGAAATAAAATTTCCGTGTCGTAATGTTTCCCCTTTAATTTCGACTTTAATTTTCCCCTTCAACTACATAGTAAGTTTTTTTTCTGTGTGCACTGATAAGCGTTCCTTCACAGCCATTTTATGCATGCGTAAAAACCTTGTTTGTGTTTTTATTGACGACTCGCAAAATAAATCGTCTCATTCCGCAGTAAGTCATGCGTCTTATTCAAAATCATATTAGACTCGACTGCCTTGCAGCAAAATAAAATAGCATTGTATTCTATTTTATTTGATGGTTAAATTAACTTCAACTTTTTGACAAAGTAGAATAATTTAAATTTAAAATGTATTTTCTAACAGTTCATTTAATTGACATTCTTAGATCTATAAGGTCACACACATTTTTAATGGGCTAGTATCATTTATGAGATCATCATTGTCGTGTGAAAATAAATATTCTAAATAACAAAGAAATATCTGCTTTGAAATCCAAAGGTATATTGTTCAGAAAATAAAGGTTTAAATACATGTACTCGTATATATGTGAAACTGGTTTGCTTTTGTGAACATTTACACTAACTGGTATTAATTATATGAGCCGCGTCACGACAAAACCAAAATAAAGAGTTTGCGACCAGCATGGATCCAGACCAGCCTGCGCACATGCGCAGTCTGATCAGGATCCATGCTGTTCGCTTACCAACTCTTTTACAAGTTGAGAGACTGATAGCGAACAGCATGGATCCTGATCAGACTGCGCCGATGCGCAGGCTGGTCTGGATTCATGCTGGTCGCAAACCCATTATGTTGGTTTTGTCGTGACGCGGCTCATATTGAGGTGATAATTCAATAGTCAGCGAAAAAACATGATATGAACAAATGAATACGTTTGCTAAAAACCACGTAACGGTGCATATCATAATATCTAAAGTTTATATATCGTTTAATCGAAGTAAAATTAAGCAATGTTCAAGGCATTATGATAATCTATATCGACCAACACTGTTTATATATAAAAAAGACTTAATGGTGTCGGATTACAGGCATATTTCGACATTGACTGAAGCGTACCCGTCCTGTCACAGTATAAAACTAGAACTGTGTCCAAAAGACACAGATACCCCCACTGACAACATAATTATATATGGTATATTGTGAAAAAGTCAACAAATTGCCATAATTCTGTTAAATTTTGTCGCAGCGAAAATTCCTTCCTTTACTACCATCTACACATTAAGGTTGTTCATCCCTGGAAGTTTAAACAAAATCTGCCATCCGGTTTAAGAGGAATTGCGTTCACAAAATTTCTACATAGTATATAGTGAAAAAATCAACAAAAGGCCATAATTCTGTTAGATTTGGTCGCAGCGAAAATTCCTTCATTTACTTCCATCTACACATTAAGGTTGTTCATCCTTGGAAGTTTAAGCAAAATCTGCCATCCGGTTTAAGAGGAGTTGCGTTCACAAGATTTCGGGACGTACGGACAGACAGACGTACGGACGGACGGACAAGTGCAACGCTATATGCTCCCACTTTGTTGGGGCATAACAAGTACTACAAGAACGGACGTAAATGAATTTTCATGTCGTTACGCTTACCTTACCCTTTTATGTTAACAACTGCGCAGTGCTCAGCTGACCATTCCGTCGCAACCATTTAACGCGTGTGTATAACATCGCTTGTCTTTATTGTCTTAAATATTAACATACCATAAGTTATGTATGGTGTATCGTGCCAGTGGTTAATATTCGTCCAATCTAGGCGAAAAACATTGCTGATACCGATGCTATTTCTATTCATTCTAAGAAGACAAAATACCGTATATTTCTGACGCATTTTTTATAAAAAATAAATAAAGAAATAACATAAACAAAATGTTGCACTTTTAATATGATCGTACATATATCTAATATAATATAATATAATGTTTTTTTTTCAACAATTTATAGCTACACCCCCATCTATATTAGTTTAAAATGACGTCATTTGTGTGCCGTTTACGGTTAAAGATGAAATTCAAAACCATTTTCGTTTGTGCATGTTATGTGAATTGTTATTTCAGAATTATATAAAAGAAAACATAAAAGAAATGGGACATTTCATTAAATTTTATTATTGTTGTTGCATTCGTATATCTTTTGATCGGAGGAAGAACATGTTCTCAAAGAATGAAGTCCGTAAAATGTGTTTAACTAGTTACCTTTTCTACCCTATGTATGGTTACATAATAATATATTATATTTTTTTTTATTTTGTTGTTCGATATTCAAAACTGACAGAGACAAAAAATAAAAACTTTCAGGTACGTACACAAATCAGAAATTTCGTTAAACATAATAATGTTGTAATACTTATTAGACATAGCTATGAATGTATTTCCTGAGAAAATAATGATTTAACAATGATAAGCTATAATACAAGAATGTACCAAATAAGTACGCTCGCAATATCAAAAACTTTCATTGAGGCAGCATTTTTATCCTGTTAGAAGTGTAGATATTATCAAATTAAAACAACCCGAATGTATTTGGTAATTTGCTTTCATCGTTAAAGTTCCTTTATGATAGAATGTGGTTTTCAAAAAAATCTAAATGGCATTTTATTTTGTGGAAATCTCATCATATTACGACGACGTGGTGGCGCATCTTCATTTTCTTCGCCACCTCCCATCCGCATTTGCATGGCCTCCATCTCTTTTCGGCGAAGTGCTCGTATTTCTAACTTTAACTTTGTTATTTCCAGTTGTTGCCTTTGGAGCTCTCCACTATAAAATTGCTGTTTGAATAAGCCACTGTTTACATAGACAGGATCGTTTGCAATGCTTAAATATAAGGTAAAAGAAGAATAATGACTAAATGACAACAACAAAAAATAAAATGCATTGTATTTAAATAATAATAAAAAAACAAAACAAAAAAAAACATCCGATAAATGTGTTGTTTGTTTAGCTAGCTATTGTGGTGTCATAAACTGACAAAATAAAATGCGCCTTCTTTTGTTTCCTTTTTATTTTGACAGTTTTTGTTTGTCATACCATCAAACCATTATTATGACGAAAGAAATCGTGAATGAAATTAAATTAAAATAGACATGAAGGTAACTATATATTGTCATGTAATTTGAAAAAAATAAGGTTTATCATATTATTATTATTATATAAAAGTTGTTACACAAAAGTATGGTCGCTGGCTACATATTACATAATTATGTGTACTATATTATTGCAGAATGTATTAATGGGTATTCATTTTTTTACACAATGGTTAAACTAGTTTATAGTTTATTTCAAATGTACAAATCTAAATATCAGAATTTTAATAATATTGTATTACATGTAAGCCAAGTAGTTATTGAAATCAAATATATGAGAACAACTGTGTCAGGAACAATATGTAAAAAGGTGTTCTCTCTATTAATTTCTAAAGATAAAACAAAACCAAGTAAGACATTGGTCATGATAAGATTAGACAAGACTGTGATTTAGGTGATATATGGTAAAAGAGAAACAAGTATTAAGATATTTAGAATATGTTAAATGCAGAAATAGATATTATCTTACAAAGATCAATGTAAAGGGTACCTAGTTGTTGGAGGTGTTGGTGCGAGCGTCGAAGGAGGTTTTGTAGCGACTGTAGGCGAAAGAGTGGTAGTTGGTCTTTGAGTTATTGGTTTTGTTATTTGTTGTGCCTGTGTTGATGCCTTTGTTGTTGATGGTTTCTGTGTAGTTGGCTTCTCTGTCAATTTTTGTTTATCTGATTGAATCACTAAAGAACCATCTGCCATTTTAAGGTTTAAATTGTCCTGCATCGCTGTATCTACAACTATGTACCTTTCACCAGTTAGAAGATTTCTTGGTACTAAACTGTTAACAGATAAAGCATTTACTGGTACAAGAACATGCTGCGACGATTCTAGTTTTACACCATTTTGATTCATACCCATGAATTGCCGATCCATTAAATTGACTTGCGCTTGATTCATACCATTCTGATTATTTATCTGAATAGGAACTCTCTGTTGAATAAAAGCGGTCGGGGAAATTTGTTGCATCTGTAACTGTTGTTGATTTTGTAGCTCTAAATTATTGTAAGCTAAGTCTAAGTTAGCGTACGGCATTTGCGGATTTTGCGCTGCTTCTATGACTGTTGGTTTGCTTTGCTGAATCAAAGTTTGCATTGGTATTATCTGTTTCCTTTTTGATTGAACAGTATACTGACTACGTTGTGTTAGTTCCTGTTTCTGTTGCTTCAGCTGTTGGATCTGCTCATTCTGCTTCTGATACTGAACATTTTGTAATGCGGCATTATTATGGGTTGGAATATGTGGCTGTTGTAATTGAACATGTTTGGATTGTTTGACAGCGACGTTAGAAGTTTTATTTGGTTTTGTCTTATGTTGGTTTGAATTACCTTTTTGTTGGTCAGTGAAATCAGCTTTTGAGTGCACGTTTTTACTTGCTGTATGTTGGGATTTGCTACCTTTTTGTTGCATCATCCTAAGTTGTATTTGCGTTTTAATGTGCTGCAACAGTTTTGTTTTCTTTGCATTGTCTGCACCGGACACCATTTCTGACTGAAGCTGTTTTTGCATACGCAAAAGTTCTTGTATTTCCAGTTGAAGCTTTCTTATTGATGTTTGGGAAATATCTGATACATTTTTAGTTAATGATAAATTATCAAGTGGATTCTTGCCATCGCCAAGTTCACGAATCTTTGCTACATCTACTTGCTTGTTGAGCAGTTTAGAATTCCCATTCCTCTTTTGATTGACAGTACCAAGATGAACTGCAATTGTAAAGAAATATAAATTAATATGCTATAATACAAGCTCCGATACATACATGGATTGACTTAGCGTATCGCTAATTTCCTTTTCACTATCTAAATGTTTGTGTTAATCATTGTTTGACTGTTCTTGAATTGGTAGTTTTATGTTCTGTATTGATAATAATATTAGTATGTTTTTTTTTGTATTTTGTATTTATATGTCTATGTAAAAATATTATATCAGTTTTTGTATTTTCGTTTTTATAATATTTGACTTATATATAATAATTCATATGTTTCATCAGTAGTTAAAAGAAATACAGGTTAAAATGTTTGTAAGAAAAAAAGGTAATGAATAACAATTTAATCATTCACTTTTGCCCTCTATTAAAATCGTTTTTATATATCTATAATTACATAGTCGCAGGTCAAAAGGCATTTAAGTGTATTTCATACTGCAAGAAAGCACGCTGTCGTACATAGTTTCCAAAATAGATACAAACTTTAGTAATAGTCATTTAAAAAGAGTCCTATATGTAACAAATAAACATATGCTCTTTGTTAACAATGTTCAATAATAATGAAGATATTTAATTAGCTGTTACATGAAAAGACATTTGTTGTAAGATACGGCCTTAGTGATAACTTTAAACAATTTAGATACTTACAGCCGCTTGAAAAACTGGCAAACAGAACTAAGAGGTATAAAGTTGTTCTTGTCCATGGTTTTCTAATGTTGTATTCCATTTTCATATAGATATTCAAAGTCAAATCCTTTTACATAACTCATTATTCATACTCCCCTTAATTGTTATCTCGAAATGAAACTCTGTTATCCGAAAATCACTTAAACTAAGAGGCCTTATGTGAATGAGAAACTGTTTGTCAACTACAACTTATGTATAATTTGTTATTAATTTTTGTAATAACAAATGTGTTAAAATAGCAACGTCAGTTACCAAAAGTAATTAATGACATAAAGTTACTTTAATGCATATGCTAACAAATTTATTCCCATTTTTTAAAGTATCATTTAAGAAGTTTCCTGTATATGGGCGACCTTTAAAAGGCTTTTTTTGTAACTTAGTGAAACGTTAAATAGCAATATAAATCTAACAGTTGAAACGTCTTTGACATTGATTTGTTGACAGGTTGGGTTTGAAAACTTTAAATTCTGTCCTGCATTCATTTGGTGATATGCTAATCTAATCACGTAGTTACGAAATACGGAAATAATATTTCTAGTTTTAAAATGACATTTATTGAACTAAAATTGCTCGTACATTTGTCTTAATAACACTCGATTAATTAATAACGACTTAAAATTTCTAATAATGCTATAACGTTGTTTCTATGACTGAATATTTGTAGATATAATTCAGTTTGACATAGACTTGTCTATTTTAATTTCGGTTCAATTTTAACATCATTCCTCACTATGAATTCTTGAATTTTACTACAACATAGCTAAACGATGAATTAGCTTGTAGTAATTTAACGTTATGTCAAATTATTAAATAAATGTCATTATTTAGAGACGATCTGCTTAAAATTACATTTTATTTTGATAGATTAAAGATTGATCACTGTAATGTTTTTTTTTACTGTAAATTGGATAAGTTGCATAAGAATGTGGAAAGTTTAGCAAGTACTATAATCATAAGTTCTTAATCATGTTTTATATAACAAACAAAATAACTAAGAAACAAGTGGGGTTCAATTTTTTTCTAGTTTCAATAATATTATCTGTTTGTTTGTTTCCCATTTGTTGTTAAGATTTATTCAAAGACAATAGAATTTTATTACTATGTACACAAAACGCTTTCAAAGAAAACTTAAGTACCAAATCAGTTTGTTAGAAAGATTACGGACATATTTGTTTGATATGTTTTTATATTTGAAATCCTAGACCCTAAATAATACAACGCAGTATTTTGCTCGTGACAATAGACAATAGCTTTCATATAACAAAAACATTAGTTATATGACACAACTTATAAAATAATTGCTGTTGACAGATCGTGCTACAATATGTAGTTGCAAAAAAATAGAAGGACAAGTTGAACTTTTATGTTACAGTATGTTTTTTGTTGTTTTGCTTTTATTTTGAATGTTTTTGCTAGCCTTAACAGCTAACTGGCCAATAACAAAAATGAAAGTAAAATTTATTGCCCGTAAAAAGTAAATAGAAATACCGGTCTGAATCACAACAGTCATTTGAAATGAAAGGTAATTGACTCACCATGTTTTCAGTTAAATAGCTTAAATTAGTTAACAATAGTTTGTCATGTATGGTCTTACATTTCCTCATCTTTGAAAAATAGCGATTCTAGCTAGGCGGTTAAGATCGGCAATTGCTTACATGATAATCATTCTTTTTTGGAATAATAATAGTAACGCTTAATATACTTATATGCGACATATTCAATATCTTTAAATTGGAAAACCGCATTGGTCATGGGAACATTATTTGTCTTTGTTATTTATGTCGCGCGCCAAAAACTGTAAAGATTTGAAATGGTTTATAATGAAGTTGTTGAAATATGAATACATGTGAATGTTAAATTGTAGACAGGTGTGAAGACACATTTCATGTTATCGGAAATCATAGTGATACGTAACTATATCAACACATCCAGTGTTCAGACACCTGGTAGCAAATGTGCCACTTATAATGCAGATCTCTTCCTAAAATTCAGCTAATTTTCTTGTATCGTACGTATACCTATATTATTTTAAACACGTGTACATTACTTAATGCATACAATTTTGTTTTTGAAAAAAGTGTATAATAAATCAATAAATCAAATCCTCGCCACACTACAAATAAATATACGGATGAAGCATGTTACATTTCCTGTTGAGATAAAAATAATATTTGAAATGCCAGTGCATAATTAAGTTGATATCTGTTTAAAATTTACCACATGGGAGCTTATTTCTATAAAAACATATTATATGGTTCCCTAATAAGCAAGGGTATCTCAGTATTTTACCAAATAAATACTAGTCTCCTATAAAAAATCATAGATTGGCAATGTAAATAGATATACCTGATACTAGTCTCCTATAAAAAATCATAGATTGGCAATGTAAATAGATATACCTGATACTAGTCTCCTATAAAAAATCATAGATTGGCAATGTAAATAGATATACCTGATACTAGTCTGATACTAGTCTCCTATAAAAAAAAATCATAGATTGGCAATGTAAATAGATATACCTGATACTAGTCTCCTATAAAAAATCATAGATTGGCAATGTAAATAGATATACCTGATACTAGTCTCCTATAAAAAATCATAGATTGGCAATGTAAATAGATATACCTGATACTAGTCTCCTATAAAAAATCATAGATTGGCAATGTAAATAGATATACCTGATACTAGTCTCCTATAAAAGAATCATAGATTGGCAATGTAAATAGATATACCTGATACTAGTCTCCTATAAAAAATCATAGATTGGCAATGTAAATAGATATACCTGATACTAGTCTCCTATAAAAATTATAGATTGGCAATGTAAATAGATATACCTGATACTAGTCTCCTATAAAAGTTATAGATTGGCAATGTACCTTGATGTTATTTAACGTGTACATTGACGAAACCTTAATATAAGTAAATATATTCAATAGAAAGCTTCTAAGAAAAAGTAAATAAACATCTATCGTCAGATAATGTCTCTTAGATGTTATATAAACATGTGACTTAATGTAATTTATTTTACGGAGTTCGATTTGTTAATCCTTTTCATGTACAATTGCTTACTGTTTTGAGAGATTGACAAATAGCCTATTTTGATCTTTTAAGTGAACGAATGTTCGTAGTATATAAGCATAGACTGATAAAGACAGACAAATAACATATCAATAATTTTGCTCAAGTCATGTTCATTGCCAATCACATTGATATATAACTTAACACAGAATGGACATTGAATTCTTGTGATCATCTCTGAGCATGAGAAAAATATAGATATAAGTATCAGATCTTTAAAAAATATGTATTTGACAACTCTTCTACTCTTTAAACACAACTCAACTCTAGTTTTCAATTTAACTCTCACAACATTTAAAACTTATGACTTATCGTCACATAAAAAACAACAACATCATACAGTTTAATACCCGAGTTTTTTAGGTGAACAGAACAGGGACTTTATCACTATTAAATCTGAAGCGGAAATTGTATTATGTAACAACAGTTTCAATACAATCAAATGAATTATGCGGCAAATGTTGTAAAAATGACACCTCTGATTAGTGGTTTTATAGCTTCACGCCTCTATTATCATTATTTATGTAAGAGAAAAATGCATCCAACACGACCTTTAAATTAATGACTTGATGTCCATTGAAACATATATGACTCAAATAAAACTCAGAATAATCTAAGGATTGCTGATCACGTGGGTTCAAACCCTGTCAGGGACATGATGTTGTTTCCTTGAGCATGAAATTTTACATTCATTGCTTTGTACTGGTTGCTTCCAGGAACGGATTCGAGAGTTTTTCATTAGCTTACAACTTCCAACACATTCGAACTAAAATAAATTTGTATAAAACTAATAAACTACTTATAACCTACATTAACGCACCGTTAAGGAAAAGGGCACTGAAATTGTATATCAACTTGATTTTTTAAAACTATCACTATTTGTAAATATATGTTCATGATTTTAATAATTTCTACAATTATACATGTATACAAGTATATTAAACATTTTCAATAGTCTATATTCTGATGTTGAAAAAAAGAATTAACAAATGATTTAAGTTGTTTATTTTTATTCAATTTGTTTGATTCAGACTATACATGTAAAGATAATGTGTAAAAATAGTGATACATTCATATATTAATGTATAAAAATGTTTGAGATGACAATTTAGGGGGTTAAATTTGACATAAAGTAAGACAAAAAGATTGGCAACAATTTATTAACAACATTAAGCTATTGTCAACTTAAACTCATTTTATTGTAGAAAAACTATGTTCAGCCTTTTTTCATTAATTCATTTGTGTTATAAATAATTCAAATTATGACGCATCTTTATTTTATTCGACAACTAAATATCATAGCCTTTAAATAAAACTATAATGGGCGATACGAACATGGCTTCTTCTTTGTTGTGAAGACAAATATACGTTATATTAAATAATGTAGGCAATGGTCTTATGTTAAAGGAACTCCACTGAGGTTTAAAAGCCTAAAACATAACATTTGAATTTTTTATATTATTTAATGAGCTGAGGCACTTTAAACAGAAATATTATCAAAGATAGTTAAGAAATATACTTTGAAATAAATTGAACGTATTTTTTTTTTGCTTTTTTAGCCCGCATTGAGTGAAAAGCGTTTAAATGCTTTTTATTTTGGGTCATCATTTTACAATTTGAATAATTATTCTGGAAAAACGAAGTGCACGAATGATCTGAAAGTTTGCACAAACATTAGTGGTCTAAAACTACATCAAATGGTACATTTATCTGAAAAAAATATTTTCAGTTTAATCATATTTTATTGCTTTTACATTTTATACAAAAACAGATACATTGTCACATGTAAACATACTACAAAACAGTAACGAATACATTTACAGTTAATACATGGATGTTATAGTTATTATAAAAAAGCAAAAGGGTCGGGCCACAAGTTTTGACAACATTAGAGAATTGGCCCTTCCCACAACGTCTAACTTGTAGTAAAAAGATGTGCATAAATTCAATTGTAATTGGAATTCCATAAATGTATATATCAGCAATCAATATGATATTATTTGAGAAAATAGAATTTGATTATAAAACTTGTTCAAAGACTAACAAAACTTGAATTAAAAAGTAATAAAGAAAAGGAAAAGAGAAAGGAAGAAAGAAAGAAAGAAAGAAAGATTTATTGATTGAATAAATGAAAGAATAAGCACCAAATATTTTCAGTCCCATCATGTCAAAATACCTCAGTGGAGTCCTTTTAAATAATAATGGACATCCCTTGATCAAAGAAGCGATGACCGCCTCTCTCAGCTAAGGAAACACTATTTAAATGCC